AATAATTTATCCAGAGAAACTGTAATAAAAACACACACAAAAAAACCAACCAATGGCTACATCTCAGACTCTACAGGGCTCAGTTAGCAAGTTCGTGACAGCACAGTTAGAAAAAGACTAAATAAGTATGGCTTGTTTTCTAAGGGCGGCCAGAAGAAAGACTCTTCTCTCTAAAAATAACATGACAGCACAGCTTAGATTTAAAAGGCTACATCTGAAAAAACAACAAGATTTCTGGTGTAGATGCTAATATAATACCATAATGCACAGCATGGGGTTGGCTGTAGCCCAGGAGGTAGAGCAGCTCATCTGCTAATACCCTTGGGCATGTTGCCCAAGCTTCTATCTATGGATGCTAACATCCATAGATAGAAGCATCCATCGGAGTATGAATGCATGTGAATGTTAGATAGAAAGCACTTGCAGCAAATCTACAACAAAATAGCTGAAAAAGAAAAAAATCAAGGTGTTGTGTTAAAAGACTTTAACCCGACTGAAATGTTGTGAATAGACCTTAACAGAGCTGTGCATCAACTCATGCCTGAAAACCTCAACGAACTGAAGCAATTTTGTAACGTGGGCCAAAATTCCTCCACAATGATATGAGAGACTGATAAAGTCAACAATTCATTGGGTGTACCTAATTATTCACACAGTCATGTGAAAGACTTTCTTTTTCACATGTCTGTAAGTCAAAACTTAAACCAAGTATATTCCAGTAATAAAAAAACACTGCTCACGTTTCCTGCTGTGTGCTACGTGTGAGAGAAGAGAACATCATTATGTGATAACTTTATGACACTCTCCTGACACTGACAAGAGTTCAATTTTAGCAACACATTAAGTTTTAAAGCGTTACCTTTGACCCTGGGGTCGCTCTTTTGCCTCCACTGTGGAATTAGGGCGCTGATTTGACGATGGCCTCGGTCCCAGAAGTGCTGTACAGCCAGAGCGATTCCCCGACAGGAGAAGAAATGACCGAGTCCGTGACTGTGGAAAAACGAAGATTGCCATTAAAATGTTACAAATAATGCTTCATATGGTCACAGTTCACTGGACTTTCTTTCTCTTTTATCACTATGTGTGTCTCCAACAAACATTAACATTGAAGTTGAAGTGCAGTGAAGAATAATATGCTGACTTCCAGTTCTTGGAACCACTGACCTTTGATGATTGTGCTGTCCAATCAAAAACAACAGTTAAAAACACATCTAAGAGGAACTAGGCTACATGTCACTTTGCTAATCACGAGATAGTTCCTAATCCCCTGCAGTATCGGACCTTGTGACCCTATCACCCCTTTGTTTGACATCTGTATCTCTGATTATATGTTGCACTTATATTTTCCACCAGAATAACCCTTCAGGTTGGATTTTCCACTCGAAAAGTTAGAGAAGGCCCACCAAACCAGACTTCCCAATCCAGGACGGCAAAACAGTAGTGAAACTGGAAAACTAGCACTCGCTATTACCACTATCGTGTATTTGTGGTTTACCAAATAAGCCATACGAAGAGCATCAGGCTTTACCCATGCAGTTCCAAAAACCAAAATGTGTTGCTACGTCCCTCTGCAGCCCCTAATCTCCTCCGTGTGTTCAGCTGGTGGTAATTGGCCACACCTAGTCAGGTGTTGATAAAAGCATATCTGAGGCAGGCTTTCAAAAAGCCTCACCAGCCGTGCCTTGGTGGTACCAGCCATGTTAGCCAACCTGCTATGCATTTTAGGATTAAAACCTCTTCTCACCTACAATCTGGTATTCGTCTCCTCTCTTTTTTGTTGCGGCTTTTGAGCCGGGTCGTAACAGTGTAACACGGTCAAATCGGGACCAGCTCTGAGGTAAAAATGACTGCAGCATATGCATTTGTTGATGGTACCTACTCTTACCCATCAAACCCTTTAAAAAAAAAACTGTTCAGGACCTACATGCATTGATCTCTGTTCCTTCCCTTCGCTTTGTGTTTCTGTGTAAGCGTCATGCTTCGCCAATAGTTCTGGTTTATCTTCCTGCTCACACTTGCTGGGTAGGTAAACCCATCACAGACTACAATTATTAATGAACACACTGCCATCACAACTTTATAAATCTTTAAACAGAGTCTACACATCAGCCACAGGTTTTCCTTTACCATCTATTAC